TGATAATTATAATGTGAACAATCGATTGAGTGATTTGAATAAATGTAAATTATATTGATATAATATTGGGTGAAAACAATTGATTGAACAATTTTGTTATATTTAAGCCATATGCAACTTTTGAGCAGTTGTAATGTATAAAGTTTTTAATTTTCCTAATAAGAGTTACAGCTATGTTATCAAGAAAATTTTTTTTTATATAACTCATCTGCACAAAAAGTTATCAATTACATTATTTGAGTCACTTAGACATGCGTTTCTCACCAACTTAATGCTTATTTTTTTCAAATTTAAAAATATATTTTTTTTACCCCTTACATATGCACTAACTTTAACTTTTCCAAGGAAAATATTCCCAAGTAATAGTTGAATGGATTATTAATTGAAATGATGTTTGCAAGAAACTGAATTTCATTTCGCCAAAACTTCAAGTACATCGTTGTGTGGCCACCATGCATTCTTTATATATCTTTTAATTTATTTGCTGAAAGTGCTAAAAGGTATAAAAAGTGTTCCCTTATAGAGATAAAGAGAAGCCTATTCTTTCTGACATGAAGATTTCCGTGAAGTAATTTAACTGTCGGACCAATCCTAAAGCTAAGAATTCAAATTTAAAAGTACAGTGACCTCTCAGTTATGCACCACCTCTTTTATGCACCTTTTTCATTTATACGACGATTTTTATAGGTCCCAGTACATTGGATAGGAAAATAATGATAAACAGCCTTCGTTTATGCGTCGCTCTAAAAATAAATTTTTCAATTATGCGCCGAAATTTTAGGCTAACATTTTTAATTTTTTAATCCTTTAAATATTTTTTCTTTTAAAAAAAAAAGTGTTTTAAAATAAAAATGAAGCAAATAAGCAACCCTTGTTACAGATAAAAAGAAATATATGTTGTTAGATAATATTGAATTTACTTCTCCCTATGACCTTTTCATTTTTGCTGTTTCTAGAAAGACATTATTTCTAGAATTTTGAATGGGGTGTCTTATCTGTTACACCAACAACAATGAAAGCCCATTCATCTTTTAGAAAATGACCATTCCTCTTGCCCAGAGGTTAGTTTACTCCCGTGCTGTTTTCTAGGATAAAAGGAGGTGATCAGTACAGTGACAGAAGTACTTGAACAACTTATAGTGCAGCATATTATGACGTCAAGTACTTTACATTTAATCTTTAGAAACATATTTATTCCTATTGTCACTGCAATTTACGATGCATTTTAAAATTTTGAAGTTTTTCACTTATGCGCCTCTTTCACTTATGCGTTTTTTTCTCTTGGCCCCTTACACCGGTGCATAAGTGAGAGTTTACTGTAATTGAATTGTCCCCAACGGACAGTTAGGAACAGGGAACGAGATAATTAGTTGGCAATTTATTGAAAGATAAAATTATTTTAAAAAAACCCAACCCCCCACAATTTTCATTGAATTTGAAATAATTTGGGCTTAGTTGCCAAAAACACCGTAGGAATAATATAACATTGTAACTGAAACTTTTTTGCTGTAAGGGAAAAAAAACTTAAGAAATAAAGAGTTATGAATAGATTTTGATGCTCGATTTAGTCGTGACAATGAATTTATGAGTTTTACATTTATTTTGTAAGTTAGCCGTTAGATTGATTGTTAAGAAGAGAAAAAAATATTTATATTTTTTCTTTTCATAAAATGTAAAAAAATTAAAATTATTTAATTTAAGTAAAATTAGATAAAGAAAGATAAAAAATAAAATTTATGAAATTAAAGAAATTTTAAAATCTAGGAAATATTTAATGCCTATTGTGGCATCACAATGGGCAATTTTAATCCTGATTATGTGTCCTAACTCCCCTAGAAGACATTTATGTGCAACCACCTTGAATTACAATGCAGAGTTGTTGACTCAATGAAGTGATACATAATATTTTAAGAAAGTATGTAAGATAAATACACAAACCGCAAGTCTAAAAGCTTCGAACAACCAAATGCCCATGACAATGCGACATACAGCAGCCCATTTTGTGGTGTGCCTGTCAATTATACAAAAAAAGAAGAAAAAAAGTCCTCTTTTGGATATATCGTGATTAAATGCTCTTCTATTTCATTAGCATTTCAACAATCAAGTGTAACACCACAAAGTAAGGAGTCCCTGATAAATATAAATAACGTCGACAACAGCTCCACAAGTCCAGTTGAAGGATCAGGATTAGTATTAATGTTTTTAGCTTTCTGATAGTCAGGTTTTGAGGATTCGGGTTATTAACATTCTTTTTAGCATTCAAACGGTTTAAGATCGTGAAAATTTTTTATAAAGTGTGATTGAGAAAAACTGAAGAAACCAATCGTTTCTACTAATTTATATTTACCAAAACATATTTTTAAATTAAGAGAAATATTTCTAAACGTTAAAACAGGCCAAAGTTATTCTTATAAAGTAAGCTAAAATTCTTAAACGTTTCCGTAATCATCATGAATTAAAATTTTTACAAATTTTTCGTGGTAGTGGTTACCCGGTAGGATAAATAGAAAAATTTTTTTTTGCTTTTTGCAATTTTTAAACACTGAAAAAGGTTTTTAATTTTTTATGAAAGTTCGTGGAAATTACAATTATGTTATTGAGAAATTTTTTTAATAAACTCATTTGCACAACGAGTTATTAATTACACTATTTTAGCTACCTACCCGTGGTTCTTACGATCTTTGAGCTTAATGTTTTTTAAATTAAAAATGCATCCCCCCCCGCCTACTTACCAACTTTATCCTTTCCAAGGAATAAATTCTCAAGTTTTAGTAGAAAGATATTTAAATAAAATGATGTGTACAAAAAGATGATTTTCATTTGCCAGAACTTAAAACATACCGCTGTGCATTTTTCATACTTCTTTTTAATATATTTGCTTGGAGTAGTTTGAAATAATTTTTGATCAAACTTATAAAGATGAATATTAAACAAAATATATAATACCACTTCTTACATAAAAATAATATTTTAGGAGAAATCAGTGAAAAATGGTAGACCATATGAAGAACTTAAAAGATGGATTAAATGAGTGACTATATAAAGTGGCTATAATCTGGATCAGAAGATGAAGAGTGATATTAAAATTTTTTTTATAGATTTATTGAGAGACGTGGTTAATAATTCTTTGTATTATTTTATGCACCACTACCTAATTTGAGAAACAAAACACACCAGTAAGCATAATCAAAATTAGTATGCTTTCTTACGTTAAAATTAAAGTGAAAGCAAAAAAAATTCTGTTGCATCAAACATATCCAAATTGCTTCGACAATCTTATATTATTTTCCCTGACTATAAAGTAACTCTGAAAAAGTTAGTTACCTCCTNCTGCTAGCGAAAATTCCGGAAATCCGGATTTTTTCCGGAGCACAATCAGCCCTGAAGTAGGCCAAAATTATTTTAAGTTCCACTAAATTCACCAAAGTTTGAGGTGGTATTATTTTATGCACCACTACCTAATTTGAGAAACAAAATATACCTGTAAGCATAATCAAAATTAGCATGCTTTCTTACGTTAAAATTAAAGTGAAAGCAAAAAAAATTCTGTTGCATCAAACATATCCAAATTGCTTCGACAATCTTATATTATTTTCCCTGACTATAAAGTAACTCTGAAAAAGTTTGTTACCTCCTTCATCCACTAAGTTCCTTATGTATTAGTAAGTAGTCGTAAGTTATTTTAAGTGCCACTAAATTCACCAAAGTTTGAACTAGTATTATTTTATGCACCACTACCTAATTTGAGAAAAAATTATACTTGCAAGCATAATCAAAATTAAAATGCTTTCTTTCGTTAAAATTAAAGTTAAAACAAAAAATAAATTCTGTTACATCAAACATATTCACATTTATTCGTCAATTTTGGATCATTTTCAATGATTATTAAATATCTCTGAAAAAGTTAATTGCCTCCTTCATCCACTAAGTTCTTTATGTGGAAAAAAAATGGTAATAAACAAGCATTTTATTTTTGATCAAGCTTCATGCAATATAAAAATTATCTATAATAAGGTAACAAAACTATTGATGAAAAAAAGGTTCCATGGGATTTCAATTTTTTAAAAAGAAACTCTTCTTAGGTCAACACTAATACAAAAACTGAAATCGTTATCAATATAAATCATTATCAATTTATTAACTATACAAATCATTATTAATTTATTATTAATACATTATCAATAGCAAAACAATATTATCATTGCAATAACATAAACATTATTATAAGAATCTCTTAAAAAAACAATAGCGTGTTGATTTGAAATATTGCTCAAAATTCCGAAAGCAGGAAATTAAAAGAAGTTTTTTTATTAATAGGCAGTAGCTGCAGCGATTTCGCGACCAAAAACTATTTAAGGAAAACTATTATATTTGCTTAGTTTTGACTGAAACAATTATTGAGAAGTAGACATTAAGAAAAAAGTTAAGTAACCAAAAATTGAAGAGAAAAAAAGTCTTTTTACCATTAAATGAGACCTTTGGTTTGAAACCAAAAGCGCCGTAAAAGGATAATGAGTTGTTAAAACTAGCATTCGATCAAAATTTTTTTTAAAAATATTTAGCTGAGAACCCTGTAGCAGATTTTATTGGTTTTCAATTAACATTTTGTAACTCTTTTTTTTAATCTTAACCTATTGTAACTTTCTACATTGTACGTTCTCATTCGATTTATCATTACCACATCCACAATATATCGGTGAACAAAAAATTTCTATAGTATATTCGTACAATATATTTAGACATAATAGGCAAAATTTTCATTGTTCGTTCACAATCATTAAATTTTCTTTAGACGTTAAGAAATATCCAACTAACTTTGAACATGTATCATTGTTTTCATCTATTAAAAAAGTTCAATTTTCTTTTTGCCATCACTGCTATAATTTGAAACCACTTTTCCAAACCCAAATCTGTGTATATATGTGTGTAAATGAATTGCTTTTAAATTTTAATTTCATTCCTTCATATGTTATAGTAAAATATTATCAATAGAAAAATAAAAATTTTGAATGCACTATAAATTTTTTCTTTGTGGTTAGAAAAAATCATTTTCTCTCATAAAAGGGAAACCATGTAATCTAAACATCAATAAACCAAATTTCGAGGGAATTTATCAGATTTTCTGAGAAAACAACATATGGATGATTTTCTCCTAATAAAGATTTCCGTTCCCTAACCCTCTCTTCTAAAATATGCAGAAGTTCATTGAATTCCTGTTCGTAAACTAATGCCTCACACAAATTTTGTTCTGCATTCAACGTTAGAGCATGGTGTGAGCCTAAGTTATTTCTTTGTATTTTTAAAACTTCTCTTAATTCATCCAAAGCCTCGCGCGAATGGCTTTTCATGTGCAACGCAGCATGTAAATTGCCAAGTACATCCTGAGTTTTTGCATGAAATGGACCTAATACTTCTTTCATTTCCTCATGAACAAACTTTAACACAGAAATAGCTTCATCGAGTTTACATACTTGCTTTAAAGATCGTCCAACATTACCGTGCGCAATTAAAGTTCTGGAATCTTTTGGACCAAATAGTTTAAGGTACGTTTTAAAAACAGTCTCATCAGCCCCCAAAGCTTCTTCATGTCTATTAAGATTGTTATAAGCTCCCGCCATGTTTGATAAAGTCGTCAGAACTTCTAAATTATCTGAACCCAATAATTCAAGTTGCTTTTTGTATACATCTTCGAAAATCTCGATCGCCTTTGAGCTTTGTCCTAGTGTATTCAAAACTTGAGCCAAAAACGCTTTCATTCGTAGGGAATATTTGTTATTCGATCCAAAAATCTTTATTCTTTTTTGTAAAATATTTTGACACACTTCTAATGCTTTCTGGTGCTTCTGTTGCTCATAGAGAATTTGGGGTATTCTATCTTCAGCTTCTAAAGTGATAGGGTTATCAAAACCTTTCGTTTGCGATAATTTCTCATGTAAAAACATTTGTGTGCGTAAAGCTTTATCATAATCTTCATCAGTAAAGCATTTTTTAGTCTTGTAAACATGACTACCAGTATCGTCAAAAATGATACAATACAATTGCCTCAATTTAGGAAAATTACTGTCTATGGCACAATTTATTATTGTTTTCTTCTCTTTGTTTTTCGCTTTTGCTATAGCTTTCATGGTAGTTGTGCCACGAAGTTTTTCAAGAACTTGCAAAATATCATCGTAATTAGATGTTTGAACATTTTCAAAAGAAGTATCGATTAATCTTAATAACTCAATAACACTTTTTTCTTTAGCAAGTTCAAGAGCAACTTTTTTATTGGTTGACAAACTATTGTATATTGCACCATTCTCTAACAGCAGTTTTACTATTTCAAAGTTGTTGAATTTTGAAGCATAATGTAGAGCTGTGTAGTCATTTTTCCCGATCGAATCGGGATTTGCGCCATTTTTAATCAAAAGATTTGCAATTTCTAAGTTTCCTTTCCAGGCAGCATAATGCAATGGTGAAGCTTTCGTAGCATCTTTGGCGTTAACGCTAACACCTTTCTCAATAAATGATTTTACACTTGAAATATCGTTGCTTTTGACAGATAAAAAAAAGTTCTTTATTTTTTTAAGTAATTCTTTTATATTTTCGGTGCCAGCGAGATTCATTGGCGTGTTATTATATTTATCAGTACAATTATAAATCGCACCATTATCCAGTAAGGTTTTAAGAACTTCCTCAAAACCAAGCATTGAAGCCAGATGAATGGGTCGGGCTCCATGCTCATCAGGCTCATTTACATCAATCCCCGCTTCAATTAAATCTTTAACGACATCTGATTGGCCTGATCCGGTGGCGAGATGAAGAAGTGTCATATTGGCTTCTTTAGGATCTTTACTTCTTTTCAAGGATTGTTAAGCAAAGTAACAGACTCCCAGATCTCTCCTTTCTTGTAAAATTGTGCACCTAAAAAATAAATATTAAATGCGTCTTTATTTACCAATGACTTAAAATGAGACTTTTTTTTGTCTACTCAGCACAATATCGAGTTAATAAAAGGGAGCATATCAGAGCCGGATTATACCTTTCGTAGGCCCTAAGCACAGAGCCGGATTATACCTTTCGTGGGCCCTAGGCATACCCGTTTTTGGGCCCTTCCCCCCTCCCCTCTTTTCAAAATATATGCTAAAATTTTCTTACATATTTTTTTTTACATTTTTATTAATATGGATTTTAATTTACAAAATTGTTTATCGAACTTTATCTGCAATACCGACATACTGCCGATATTGCAGTCGATATCGATAATACCATTATGATTAGTTCGATCGATAACCATGTTAAAGATAAACTAGTGAATACTTTTCCTAACGTTCATATTGCATTAAGAATATATTTGTCGATTCTTGGATCAAATGCAGAAGGAGAAAGATCTTTCTCCAGGTTAAAATTTATAAAAATTATTTGCGTTCAACAATGAATCAAGATCGTTTGGCATCGCTCGCACTTATGTCTATTGAATACGACATTTTGCGTAGTTTGGAATTCGACAGCATAATACAAGATTTCGTTGCATCCAAAAATCGCAAAAAAGTAATATATTAAATCATAAGATTCTGCAAAATAATTTATTACCGAAAAATATTATATTTTTATTTGTATCTTCATAATTTTGTGCAAAATACACTTGTTGTTTTTAAAGCTAAATTATTTTTGTCAACAAATTTTTTTCTCCCAAGTTTTTCGTAGGCCCTTGAATTTCGTAGGCCCTAGGCACGTGCCTATTGTGCCTATAGGTTAATCCGGCCCTGGAGCATATATACACATGTATCGAAAATATCCTTGCATAATTTTAACTAAAATATTTTAAGATTTTGCACTCAGAATGAATAATAACTATAAAATTCGTTTTAACCAGTTATTATTTTAAAAATTAACCAAGATGTTCTTTGTTTTAAATCATCTTAACTTCCATTCTTTTAGACGGAGAAATAAAAGCAAAACGGTTTTTAAAATAAAAAAAAAGTTAATAGGGTAAACTAACCAGTGAAGGAAAACTTAAGCTTCGCTTGCCTTTTAAAAAATCATATTAATTTCAAAATTCGTAATTTCAGTTAAATGACAGTGTCAACATATTTGCTACTAATTGCAAATTACGTAAAAAACTGTAGCGAACTTACATAATATTGTTTAAAAGTTTTGGAGGTTCAAGTAACAACTTGTAAGAAGACCAGGTGAAGGAACAGCTTTTACCAGTGAAGGAACACAAAATTTACACATTAAGGTGGTTTCTATAAATACTTGACACCGATTTAAATGTGATTGATGTAAATGAAAAAAAATAATTGCGATTTTTAATAATCCCATTTGGAAAAAAAAAACCTATTTGTTGTTTTCATATGAAGACAAATACCAATAGCAATAATTTCCTTAGATTAACTTTTTGGAAAAGATTTTATTAATGTCTTCTTGTCTTGCTTAACTGGCGAATACCTCCTTTGTGTGTAATATCATAAAAAATAATGTAAAAAAGTGAAAATTTTAATTAATCGTGAAATGATCACCCGAACGCGTAAAAATAGAATCTTGATTGTTTAAGGATATACACATCAGATTTAAAAGAAACGAAAATAGGAAAGTTTAAGATGATACAATATCGATTTTAGATTTCAATTCTCATTACTTTCATCCAGTTTAAACGAGTGAAAGAAGTTATGATTTTAAACATACTCAGGTAGCTATAAAATTGCTATAAGCATTCTTAATTCAAATTGCTGATTCTTATTGGCGTAAATGCTCTTAAGCAAATCAATTAAATTGTATTAAATGTAAGGAAAACAGTGCTCATACGATGCAGTTTTTGTGTTAAAAAAACTTGCAAACTTTTCAAGATTGAAAAATGCTTTGCTTCTATCTTAAAAATATCTCTTTTCAAAAGAAATTTGAAAAAAAAAAATACTTGCATATTTTTTTGAAAAAAATGCATTATTAACAAAAGTTTAGATTGCGCTAGCTTCAAGTGTAAGTTTTGTCAAGTAAAGACACGTAAGTCAAGTGTAAAGACAGAAATATATTAGCCAGACTCTGTGTGTATCACCCATCAAAATTCCTTGAAAAATTGACCATCTGAGGGACAAGATATACATAGTATATTCTACAACAAGCACTGAAAATTGGCAACAAAGGGGTGCAAAGAAGCTCAGAGCATTTTGAGTTTTTTGTAGATAACACCTGTCTACAAAGTATAAGAAAAATAACATTGGTTTTAAATTCTCTACTTTTGTTAGTGACATTCGAAGCGTAATTACTCTGAAACGTATCGGATATTCATTCATGAGAACCATTCATTCCAGTTCGTTTAACTTCAGGCTATAAAACTCTACAACAGATAAAAATAGATAAAATCGATTTAAATAAATGTTTTCAGCCTTAATTAAAGTAATAGATATAAAGTATTTAGTACATTAACCATTCATGTCAGTTGGTTTTACTTTGAGTTATAAAACATTGCAACTGATGAAAATAGATAAAATCCTTTAAAACGTTCTTTTTTTGCCAAAATTAAAGTAATAAACTTAAAGCATTTAATATATTACCCGTTCAGTTCAATTGGTTTCTCTTCAGGGTATAAAATTCTACAACTATAATTAAAACAGATAAAATCCATTGAAAAATATTTTTTCTAGTCTTAATTAAAATAAGAAATTTGAAGTATTTAATACATTAACCATTCATGTCAGTTGGTTTTACTTTGAGTTATAAAACATTGCAATTGATGAAATAGATAAAATCCTTTAAAACGTTCTTTTTTAGCCAAAATTAAAGTAATAAACTTAAAGCATTTAATATATTACCCGTTCAGTTCAATTGGTTTCTCTTCAGGGTATAAAATTCTACAACTATAATTAAAACAGATAAAATCCGTTTAAAAATATTTTTTCTAGTCTCAATTAAAATTAGAAATTTGAAGTATTTAATACATTAACCATTCATCTCAGTTGGTTTGACTTTGAGTTATAAAACATTGCAACTGATGAAAATAGATAAAATCCTTTAAATCATTCTTTTTTAGCCAAAATTAAAGTAATAAACTTAAAGCATTTAATATACTACCCGTTCAGTTCAATTAGTTTCTCTTTAGGGTATAAAATTCTACAACTATAATTAAAGCAGATAAAATCCATTTAAAAATATTTTTTCTAGTTTTAATTAAAATAAGAAATTTGAAGTATTTAATACATTAACCATTCATGTCAGTTGGTTTGACTTTGAGTTATAAAACATTGCAACTGATGAAAATAGATAAAAACCGATTTAAAGTATTCTGTTTTAGCATGAATTATTATTGTGGGTGTTCATTTACAAATCATTTACAAATCATTTACATCATTTACAAATGTATGTTATTTAAATTAATAGACTATTACATACATTCACTAGATGATACTATTACATTCATAAGGCGGCTTATCAAAAAAATGATAAAATAATGATTTTTTTGAAAATTATTCATTATATTATTTATACAAATACATAATTACTTCATGTTTAATTGAAGACATTTAATTTAAATAAGCATGCTTTTAATAATTAACGTAGGATTAGTCACAACATACCATACTGCACGGATTTCCAGCTTTTTATGGTTAAGGAACCCTTAATAATCAATATTTTGTCTATGGAAATGAAGTATATAAGAAAATTGAGAGCCTATTAATCAATAAAAGAATACTTGAATTTGAAATTAGTTAAAAAAGAGAAATGAATTTTTTTAATCAATTTATTATTAAAAATCTTGACTTAGATTTAATGGCCCGACTATTAGGGAAACATTCTTTTAGTCATTAGGGAAACATTAATTCTTTTTATTTTGATTTGAAAATCGCGATAGGGTATTTCTAAAAAAATTCATAAAGCTGATTTCCTACTGTATTTCACAATGTATTCTATATATTGTTATTGGAAAAATTGCTCTTTTTTTTAAAAGAAAAAGAGAATATTCTTTTTTTATTTCCATTTAACTTTAAATAATTGCATAAAGGTAATCAAAATAATAAACAAATTACCACATTAAAATTGTAAGGATTATTGATAGGTTCTAAATATAATTAAAGGTATAATTACAAAAAGGTTAAAAAAATCCTTACTCTGGGAACCCTTTTAACACATCACAGGAACCCTAGAATTCTGCAGTACATATGTATTATGAGAACTACTACCCTACTGTAGCAAAATACAAGGTACATGGTGGGAGGTTACATGTCGGGGAAATCCCATGACTTCACAGTATTCCTAATCAGTACAAATTTTAACATAATATTCTTGTCTTTCATATGAAATATTTAAACATTACTATATTGTACTTTTATCAGTTCAATAATAATATGCGTATTTCTTATGTCATTCATAATCAAATGCCTGCAAATGACGTAGTGTGGGTATATCGATCCTGATTGGTTGTTAAAACGTGGCATTTGTTTACGTTTGCACATGTTCTTTCCCTTCTATTTCGAGTGAGCCAAACCCGTCAAGTATCAATTCTTTTAATTGACACATTCTATATTCTTATACAAATATTCTTTCATTAAATATTTCTTACTTAAGACAAAGATAGACATGAAGCAATGTAGATCATAAACAAACCAATTACAAATCGAAGTTGCCAGGTACAAAAAATAAAAATATGTCACGGTCACAAAAAAATACATAAACAAATAATAAATCTAAGTTAAATAAAAGTTATATTTCAACAAATTAATTAACTTCACATCAATTAACAATCCAACTTATGTAGCTAAACTTGCTCAATTTTAACACTTCATTTTACTTATAACCTATCAGCTGGAGCTGATTTCATAGGTCACATGATGTCATGGGTATCCGTTATCTTTTTTTCTCGAAGTGCAAGAACCCAATAAAAAAAAAACCAAATATTCAAACCAAAATAATTATACTCTATAAATAATTAATAAAGTGCATAAATTGAATCCTCTTTATTTTTGTCATTTAACAAAATTAATTAATTAAAAGACACTTCTAAAGCTATAATGCAGATACAAGTTCATACAATACAATAAATGTATGCACATAGATGTTACAATAAATGTCCTAAGATCGACAAATAAAATTGTCTATGGCCCAAATTGTTAACGAAATAAAAATTTAACGTAAGAAAACGAAATGTGTTTTATTATTTCAAAATCCTATGCTTACATTGAATGAAATTGATTTGCATATTTTTAATTAATAAAGTCTATTTGCTTAAAACTTCTCCATTTTATATTGCAAATAGCAATAGAATTATTTATTTAAATAACATTATCAACACTGCCATTAATTACTTGCATCAATAATTTCTGTAATCACATCTAAGCCTTAATTACTTACCTATTTTTAATTAATATATTCTTTTCATCTTTTCCAAAAAGTTCTTGGACTGCGATAAAAATTTAAT